ATTTCCAGCGTCCTCCTGTCTTTCTCCGCTTCCCCGGGATGTTCCAGAAGACCGACGTCGGCCTGGCGGTGGTCTTTGCGCTCTTCGTCGTCCTCACCGTTTCCGGAAACGTGCTCGTGCTGGTCGTGATCAAGGTGACTTCGTCCATGAGGAGCCCCACGCATCTCCTCATGGGGAACTTGGCAGTGAGTTACATCGTGACGGGAATCCTGGTTCTGCCGTTCTCTGCTCTCATTCAGTTCGGCGGGGAATGGAAGTTCGGCCATGCTCTGTGTCGGATCTGGGTATTCCTGGATAAACTGTGCTGCGGGGCGACGGTCTTGTCCCTGTGTGTGATTTCAGTGGACCGATACATCGGTGTGAGTCGACCACTATCGCACGACCGAATCATGAGCCGATCCCGGACGCAGTGGGCCATCGCCTTGATTTGGTTCATCAGCCTGGCGATGAGCTTGGGAATACTCGTGGGTTTTGAAGGGAAGCCGGTCAAAATGAACTTTTGCTCGGTTACGGTCGACGCTTGGTATATCATCTTCAGAGCCATCGTGAATATCCTCATCCCTTCCGTCGTCCTCCTCGTCTTATATTGGAAAGTGTACCGGAGGGCCGTCTCAACTCTGATGCAGGACCGAGACAAATTAGACTGCGAATCCCTGAGGATCCATCGGTGGGAAACCAGCACGATGTCGGTCGGCCTCATCTCATCTGCCGACCCTAACCAAAGTTTCGAATCCGGTTTGGACCCTGCACTTCAGTCCGCGAACGAAACGCGGAAGAACTCCGTGGCGAGCGCCGTCAAGATGAGATCTCACGATTTCCTGCATCGTCGGCGTCGACCGAGCAACGTTCTCAGAGAAACCCGAAGGTGAGGCGACGATTTTCCGCAAAAAAGTTCAATTTCCCAATCGTTCGATGTCGACGACGACGCGTGAACGGAATCTGAAAATGAGATTGGTTTTCACAAGTTCGAATTGGGATTGCAAACCTTTATACCTTCTACGTGATGAGCTAATCTTTTATTCTGTCATTCCGAGAAACTCTTTCTAGACGGATTAGGTGAGGTGTTAATCGAAATCTCCTGGAGATGATACTAATTCGATCAAAAGTCCTAAAAGTCCGCTGCGGACGTTATTTCCAGCGTCCTCCTGTCTTTCTCCGCGTCAGAGACCTGCACGGGTCGACTTCCCCGAGTTGAAGCTCCATCGGCCCGACTGGAATCGTTGCCCGCACCCAATCCTGAACTCGCTCGTCGACCGAGCTTTGCTGCTTCCTGCAGCGAATCGCGGCGGGCTGATTGACAGGCCCGCATCCCGCTTAGGTCTCTAAGGTCAGACGAAATATTTTCCCCATGGGAGGTAGGAGAGCCTCCTCGCAGATATGCGATGAAATGCAGTTTCGGATGGAACGGCTCAGAATAAAGGGCATGCTGTGTAAGAGGGCTGGGTGGTGAAGGGCACCCCCCCCCCCCTGTGGCGTGGGGAACCGTGCAAGACCGTCATATCGCGAAATCTGAAGCTCATGAAAATCCCCATATGCCGAATAAAACGTGACTCTTTCTTAGGCATGGGTTGCGTGAAATCGATGTCCAGCCATCTCTCGTCCGAATACAAATACATAATGCATGAGAGGCCGATCCGTCCGTGTCATTCCGGGAAACTCCTCCGAGGCGGATGAACGGGTTTTCATGAGATATCGATCGAAAGCTTATGACCGGGAGAAGATTCTTCTTCGATCGAAAGTACTCGAAACCTTACCATTTCCACGAAATAAAACAAAAAAAGCGATAAGAATGGCATCGTCCTCGACGCCTTCCCAGGCGATTTGGTCAAAAGGCACGGCCCTCACTCGATCCGGAACTCGATTGCCGATCGGACCAAAGCCCGCTTTGGCATCGGCACTCGAGGTCTTAGATTGGGCGTTCGCGAAACTGAAGACCTGGAGTCACAGTCAGCGGGTGAGAGCACAGAACGGCGTGCACAAAATGGTGCACAAAATGGTGCATAAAATGGTGCACAAAATGGTGCACGAAATGGTGCATAAAATGGTGCACAAAATGGTGCACAAAATGGTGCACAAAATGGTGCACAAAATGGTGCACAAAATGGTGCACAAAATGGTGCACAAAATGGTGCACAAAATGGTGCACAAAATGGTGCACAA